GTTATATAGGTAGTTTATGTAAGTACTACAGACTCGGATGGGTTGCATTGAAATTCGCAATAAATAATTCTAGACGGAGATAATCACCATCTGCATTACAGTAGGTATTACACTGAATATAAAATTCAAAATTTTGTTTTACATTCATAAATTGATTACGAGTGAAATATTTGTAGTAATATAATATATAGGTGTGTCTATTGTATGTATTTTATTGCCTATTGGCACCTAGAACGTAAAGGATTATTATTGGTGATTCGCTGACCCAAATTTGCGATCTAGTGTTTAAGAATTAAGGAGCTTATAACATTTTTAGAAGAGCACTTTCTTGCCTGTCACAACCAATTTATTTAATAACAACTGTTTTTTTCCCGTGTAACAAAATATCACCGATGGTAACCAAAAATAAACAATTTCCGTTTTTCATGGTACTGTTTAGTAGTTTGTTAATGTGCTGCCCTGGAGCGTGAAAATTATATCCCCCCACTACTTTATTTTCTGATATTTTCATCTTCCATAGTTAAACAATAAAAAGATATTATAAATATATAAATGATAATAATTTATTACACGCATATTAAATATATGGGTAATGGAGATATTTTTCAAAAAATAGTTTTAAGACTATACAGGTAATATTAGTCAATTAATGTATATGATGATAATAATGCAAACAAAATTAAATTTAAGATGGAGTTGGGTGTGGTGGATATCGTTATAGCGTTTGGTGTTAGATCATATTTTATGTAACCCCGTATAGGTTTGATTATTGGTTGATAAACAGAGCCATCGAATAATTATTAGATTATTAGCGCAATACATAAATTAATCAATTATTATAATGGCAAGGCGATCAAATGTTCACGCACATGAGCGGTAGGTTAGGTTAGGACGATAATAATCAAATATCTATATAAATATATGATTGTAAATATTGCATTTTTTTAAGAAAACTTATATTGCGATTATAATTCAGTCATTTTTTATATCCACAGGAAAAATGTATTCAGTTCATGATTCGAAGTTTAAAAGATTCAAAACAGTTCAATTTAGTCAGTAGAACGTATTTGAATGCTGATATGATTCAATTTTTGTGTGAACCTTTACTTTCAATTAATACTTCTTTAATACAGTAAACAATTTAATTTAACTTCTATTTTTTTTTATATATTAATGTACAATATAGTATTATATTAGTTGTATACAATTATTAACATACATCAATTATCTTTTAGAAGTATATGTTTATGCATATGGATGTTATCAAAAAATAATATATTTTACGAAAGAAATGATGTTTCATACACTTGTAATAGTTTGTTACGAACAATTGTATTTTTAATAAGAACTAGCGATGCTTTAGTATCTGATTTAATTCAACTATTGGCAATAATTATTAAAAAGTAGGTATTCAATAATTGTACAACTACATGATCGAGTTAAACATAATATAAATGTATAATATAGTATTAATAACTATACTACTGAGTATTATTGTAATCGATTTTAGGGGAGGTACAAACCTTCAAGAAATCTGTAATATACCACAAGTCTTAACCATTATAAAAATGGTTTATACTAATTCACAAAATTTACCAGAGCGTTGTGTTATTAATGCTACTTCTATACTAACTTTTTTTTTGTCGTGCCCTTCAATTGAATTAAGTAATAAATTATACAACACGAGTATGTCTATTTCAAAGGCAATCTGTAAAAGTGTCACAAGCAAATGCATCATTGACCCTCATGTGGTTGACATAGCATCAAATCTGTCTAGTAGCTTATTAAGGTAATATTACAATTTATTTTGAATTAATCAGTGGCGTAAACTAGGGTGGCATGATGGTTAATGGTTATAAACTTATAACTTATAATGATGGGCATAATGCCACGAATCCCAAAATATTTTTTTCGATAGCCATACTACACATATATTGTAATTACTAATACAAGGTATAGGAAATGTATATATGTACTTACATATTATTAGGTATGTTTCAAGATAACTATTAGACAAGTACACCGATGAATTACAATTGAACTGAAAGGGATTAACTATGTAGAATAAATGGATAATATACAGAGTGATTCACCAAGCACGCTAACCATAATTTTTCCTTCATTTATACGTAAATACCTATTCTGATTTTTGAAATTTTTAGTAGGTATACTTAAAGTCTAAAGACCATATTATTTTCAATTACTTAAATTGTTTTACGACATTTAAGGTGTTTCATGTGGCTTACTTGATGAATCACTCTGTATAATATATTTATTTGTTACCTACTCGTCCTACTCATCATTTAATCTACACTCTGGAGTAACGCCTCTGAATTAAATGTCTATTACTTTGTAAATATAAATAAATAGATTATATATAATTGTGATAGTCATTAACATTATATACTTATTCTGATTAAATAGACTTTATTCTACCATAACAAAGAGAGTATTAATTAATAACAATTTAAAAAAACATACAGAAATAGCCAAATTATTGAAAAATGTGGCTTGGTATATGATAAAACACATTAGTTTACCATTTGTTCTAGTAAGTAAATATTACTGATTATATTGTAAAATCAATAACTACTCTACTGTGTAGATAATATAATATAATTTCAATAAAGTTTGTCGTATAATATTAATTTTTAATTTATGTCCACATAGAAAAATTTGAATATAAATATTTATCATAAAAGTTATCGAAAAGGAATCAAAAGTTTAATAAGTCCGTTCAGAGAAAGTTTATCTACTTCTGCTCGCCAAAATATAGCTAGTCATTATGCAGCGTCAAGAATCATGAGTATTTTATATGAATTAATTGAATATAAGTAATTGATTATTTGTTATAACTTATATATCCATCTATATATTAATAAATAACTAAAACTTGGTGTACATATCATTGATATCTAATTAGAAAAGTAAAAAATTAGAGATTTATTTACTTACCCATTATTTTAGTATTCAACAAAGTTAAGTAGTTATATATTATGATATTATTCAATGTTTGCTCGTAATAACTGTTTGAACATATAATATTTGGTTGGATTATATGTAAGTATCCTGTTGAATAATGTTTATTATTTCTCTAGTAAAATTGGCATTTTAGCCGAAGAGTTGTTGTTTGAGATGTCGTTTTATTTATCATCAGCTTATCTTGAAATAAATTGTTATTGGCCGGGTGGTATTGATATGTTTCGCAATCAAATGGTCTGGAGCTTCAAGAATTTTCCCAAAACTCCAAAAGATCTATGTTTTGTTCTGACAAATAGTACAAATACAGATATGAGATATTCTATCATTATTTTTATTTATTTCTATCTTTTAACTTGTTCCAAGTAAGTTTTTTTGTAGATATTTAATACAATATTATAGCTACTATAACATCGGCATACTGATTTGAAAACAAGACACATTTTTACTATACTAAAAATGTTACGATGAATGTCTTAATAAGCCGGAAAAATATCATGTTTAATTATTTACTGGCTATAAATAATATTCACCATTTTTAGTGATTTTTATAAGCAGTTGAATTTGTCGTTATCATAATTCACACATCCAATATTCCTAAAACATTAAACACAATGATAGCAACTTGTGTTATCGATACCGCTGTACTGACTTCCAGCTAAGACCAGGTTCAAACCTCAATTATTAATCTTCAAAACGATCTCATCTTAATAAACACCAGAGCAACTTTATTGGTGGAGAATACAATTAAACCCTACAAATCCTTCCATTTACCGTTTATGCACTTCGAAAAGATAAAGTGGGACAAGTGGGTTGAGATACGGATACCTTCTATGTCTTAAGTAAAAAATCTGGAAATTATATAACTGTTAATATTATAATACAGCAAAATATGAAATATAAGTATTAGGTAGGTAGGCAACAAACTTGTATGTTGTAGATTTACAATTGTTATGATAACAAAGAGGCACATCAAAATTGAAATATATTTTATCTTTTCTTCAATGTTAAATTGACTATTGAGTATATTTAATGTTATAATATATTATATGTTATCGAATTATCTACTATTAACGAATCTGTTATACATACATTGATTTTAGCATTGAAAATGAGTCAATATACTTAGAACCAATGTGCGATTACTTATGTTCAATACAAAATGAAATTCCGGTTCCTGTTATTAAAGCAATTCTTTTTAATATTTCTGTAAACATTAAATATGTAATTTGTTCTCCAACACGTTATTAAAGAATGCGTTTATTTTTAGATTTGTTTTGTGTCGCATCATGCAGTAAATGCAATATCCGGTTTAGCTTTTGCTACGAAAAAATTAGTTGGACTTATGACCTCCCTGGAATTTATTGATTCGGTATTTACCCATCATCCCTCATTGTTATATTTTTTGTTCGCTACAAGTGTAATACCCAAAAAAATACAAATGCAATTAGTGAGCACAATCCGTTTTTTTAATTTTTTAAAGGTTTTTTTAATTTAATTTGTTTCATTACTATCAGATTACACAATGGGTCCAGAATTCAGATGAAATTAGTTTGGTTGAGTTAGAAAAATTTTGCTTAAGCAACCACGAAGCAAAGTTATGTTTGATGGTAAATTTAATAACAATTTCCAATACATTAAATACAACTGCAAATAATAAAAATGATTACCTAATTATTCTAAATTTTATTTTCATTTTAATAACTTTTAGGATGTTCTAATTAATGAAACAAATATTGATAGTTATAAACTACAAATAGGATTCAATATTGTTAAAAAAATAATAACCGCAGAAAACGAATATAATGAACACAAAACTTTATTAATTATTTGGGACATGTTACCCATATATTTAGGTTCGTTCTGTTGTACTAAAAATCCAAATAGAATAAGAGGTAATAAAAACATAGTTCTGTATGATACTGACAATTATTAATATTTTGTTTAATTTGTTTTAATTGAATTTTTATATTATTTATTTATTTATTTATATATTTTTATTAATACTGCAGAGACAAATTTAACATTTTTATTGAATTTAACCGAACCGTGTTTTCTCCGCGGGGCTAATATTTCCATTAACGAACATCGTAGTATAGTTTATACAATGTCTTCAATAATAAAAAGCCATCAATCAACTTTTACTGAACAGTATTCACTGTTATCATCTCTTCTTCAACATCTCTTAACCCTGATTCAGTTATCTCATAGTGATGGTAAGTGATTCAAACGCAAGCGATAATAACTTAAATGGCTTTATGTAGGTACCTAATTAAATAATATCTGTTCTAACTTTATTTCAGTTTTAAATACAATTAAAAAGAATAAGGATTTTCTTTGTGTTCTTGAAAACTTATGCCTCTCAAAAAATAACAACATTTGTTTTCTAGCAATCAATACTGTAATACAATTATGCCAACTTGAAGAAGAAGAAACTAATATGGAACATAAACTTCTAGTATGATCTAGTACAATTTTCTACGTGCTAGGTTCACAATTATCAAATACACTCATGATAATAATGAATTTATATTTCCTCTATAGTATTCAATAACGTTAAAATGTGAATATGTTTTAAACGCCATGACTAGGCTATGTCAAAATTGCATAATGTCATCTATTACATTATTTAAAATTATTTTACAATACTTCGAAGAAGGTATCTGTAAATCGGTTGAGTTTAATGAAGCCCCAACTGCTGATTTTTTAAGATCTATTTTCATGCAATTAGAAACTATTATATCTCAAGTAAGAATTTTAATAAAACTCCGTTTTTCAAGTTCTTTAAATATGTAGATACCAACATTAAATAATACTTACAGGGATTGGATAATGTGTCAAACCATGCCTGGGAATGTATGACTACAATATTGTCAACAAAACTTTTGAAGCATTTACAGAAATTATCATATCTTAAAATTGAGTTTGCCACCGATCCTTGGCTTAACTGTATACTTGTGAATTCGAAATGTTTTAGTGAAAGATGTTTAGAATTTTTAAATTTTTGGTTTACACATTTTGTATTGAGTAAGTACCAAAAAAATATGTTCAACATATAATAGTAGGCAGTAACAAAAATAGAATATAAATATTAGTTCAAAATATAAATAGGTATAATAGAATACAATGAAATACAAGTTTTTCTCACTGGAATTTAAAAATTAATTTAACCTTAGCTCTAAATAGCTACCCTTATTTTTTTATCTGGGTTGAAGATCAAATTTTAACATTAAATATTCAAACATATTAAAGATTTATCCTCAAACTATATTTGTGATTTTATTATTATTTAAACATTTTACTTTAATTTAAATTGTCATTTTCTATACACTATGATATTTTTAAAATTTCATTGTGTATAGAAAAGTTTGTTAAAAAAATATTAGTACACATTTTTATGCTCGGTCAAAAAAAAAGTTGAATTATGTATTATAAGATTGAAGATTCTTCATAAATAAACTACGTATTTAAATAACGAACCAATGAGAAGGTTGATGGCGAAATATAATCTGGACCCTCATTTTTTAGTTTAAAAACATTTTTTATTTTTTTTCTCTATTTAATTATTGTATACATTTGATTAAACATGTACTCAATTACCTTTATAATATACTTTTAATACAAACTATGTAAAAAAGAGCCTCGCCCGTTAAATAAAAAAAATAATTGTACTTAAAACATTTTTTAAATGTTGAAAATACATTAACACAATTATTTGTATAGATTTTTAAAGTCAAAATGTTGGTGTAATTGGATATCTATTTAAATGGCAAATAACGACTATTTAATTTAATTTAAAATACATCATAAATCAAAGAGTCATTCAACTTTTCACAATTACCTATTTACCTATATTTACGTTTACTGTTATTTTAAATTCACAAATACACATTGAAACTTTCAAAATATTTAGAATAATCATAAGTTATTTTTACCACCAACCTTTTCACACCGGTCTGTATTGAGTTGGTCATGGCCGTTTTAGACCAATCCAAAAAGTTTAATATTTACTATTCTACTTTCTGTTATAAATATCAAAAATTATTAAAAAAATTGAGTTGTATAAAATGTATATAAGTAATATTATATAAACTATTAATAATAATATATAATTTTTGTCAATGATTATTATATATGATGATCAATACCTTCAAGTGGCGTACAAACGAAGGGGATAATTCCCCCTAAAGGAAAATAAATCTTGTTCTAAATGGTTAGAATGAAAAATATACACGTCATGAAAATTGTTTGTGTATAATTGTATAAATTTTAATATTTGTCAAAATACAAATAAAATCTTAATGCACTTTGTTTTCACTACCCTGGCAACCCAACATGATAAGCCTAAATATTATATTATATAATAATAAATAATATTTTAATATATGTGATGTTTTTGGCGAAAATAAGCTCAACATAAGTTAGGTGTAATTAATAGAAAAATAAATGACTAAAAGTACCTACCTAGTACTTACTTAAAATAAATAAATTATAAAATAATCACACACTGGCAAATTTACATATATTCTCCGCTGATAATAGTTTTTCGTATGCAATGATTTATCATTTATATACATTTATTTACATTTATTTAGTGAGTAATAACAAATAATAATAATAAGTAAATTACTTTTTATACATACAATAAAATTCAAATGTAACACTTCAGCTAGTGTACTATCTCAACGACGAGGTATAATAGGAATTCCTATTTACCTAACACACAGCTTACAGTCAGTAGAGATGACTTTCCCAGTTGTTTTTTTTTAAACAGGTCCTTCATAATAATTTCATTGTATATTATTATAATTACATACTTTATCATGTGTTTAGATTACGAAGAAAGTTTCACAATACGTGGATTAAAAGTGCTATGTCCAAGTCTCTTTGATGTTACTGTAGTTCATATTTCAGTAACAATAGTCAACCAAGTTTATGAAAGAAATGAATTAATGTCAAAAGCTAAATTGATTATACATTTGGTAATATATAAACCTTGTACACTTATCTTATATTATGTTGTATCATTCATCAGTTCTTTTATATTGTGGATTACAGATATTGAAAAACAAATTCTTGTTACCTAATGGACTAGAGGAAAAAATGAACATATTCTTAAACCAAAACTAGTCGAAAGCTTTATATTTCTATATATATTTTTGAAACTGTTCCTTTACCTGGTTCAAAACTCAAAAGAGTTCAATAATATATTTCGTTTAAATGTATTTATTATTATAAGTATAGATAATTATATTTTACAAAAATATTTTGTAGACAATTCTCTTCTGTATTCAATAAGCAATTAATAATAAAGTTAATAGCTGTATGTAGGTATTTTAGTTACACATGTAAATTCAATTATTTTAAGCATCTAAATTGTATGTTATTTAAAATCATAAAAATATTTAATTTGTTCATATTTTGAAGTAAAATTCGAATATTTACTATTGTATGTTTTATGCTTTTATTATTGCACATACCTAGTTAATTATAGATGTGTTGTTAAAATGTTGATCTACCATAAACATAATATGTCTATTTGTTTTATTTATAAGTATTAGGTAATACTGTAACACCAAATACCTCTCTGCACTTAGAAATAAGTATGATACCCAATTAAATAATATTGATGTATTATGCTCTCTACAATGTTTAATAGGTATGTTGTCTAAAATTCTAAATATCACTAATTTTTTTTAATCTAAATTACATCAAATTTATCAAACATTTAAAATTATGTTTTATAATTGCTCATATTAGAATTATATAGGTTATATTAGTATTATATATATATATTATTATATTATATTACCTATACATTTGTTATTCGATCGATTATCTATATAATGCTCGGTCATTATGATATTCTAGATTTCTATTTATTTTAACTACCTATTTATTATATATACCATGGATTTGTTATAGGCAAAATTTAGTCTGACCTATCTTTAAATAATTTAATGATTAATAATAATAATAGATTGTCTTTCGAAATATGTGCTGACGGTCTGTGAAGACGACAGACAGCAGATAATCATTTTTGTATACAATATAATTTGTTATTTCAATCAGATTTTATACATACATAATCCATTATGCCCAACACCTACTTTACGAAAGCAATTTTTTCGGATTTTTAACCTTCGTGAAGTTGGAACCCCTAAGGCCCTAAGAGCTATCAACTTCAAACCAGGGGCGATATTTTTAGCTGATTTGCATCATTTGTACTACTAATTTTGAAATTTTCAACAACACCCATTTTTCAGAAAATCTGATTTTCCTATGATAGCATATTCACTACCAAGAGAAAACTACTTTGTTATACTGTCATCAAATTTACTATGCGCTCTTACATGTCCATGAAATCAGAACCTCAAAAACCTATCGAATCAAATCCAAACTAGTACCGAGTTTTTGGCAACAATTTACAGCACCAAACAATAATTTTGCATTACAGCTTTGATATTTTAGATTCTGAGCGGAGCGTTGAATGCATTTATTTTACCATAATGTTTGTGTGTGTTTTTTTTTGTGTGTCAATGTACACGGAAAAGTATTTCAAATAATGCTTCAATTTTAACTTCGGTAACTTTTCTGGTGCGGAAGTGAATGCAGTTGGTGCATTCACGACGCTACCTAAGAAGTTTACAAAAAAAAAATCGTAAAAAACGAAAAAAAAATTTAATTAAATGAAAATACGTTTACGTATTTCGATTTTTATTTGTTTTTTTAGTTTTATCAAAAACTTGAAAATTTAATACAAGGGCCACAAGTTTATATACTTCATATAATATGTATATTGATTTCAGAATGTTGTTTTTAATTTGTTTTTATTTTTTGCGTATGTACACGATTAATAGACAATAGTTGAAATAAAGCTTTAATTTTTAACTTCAACATTTTTCCGATGGGAAAGTGAATCTATAAAGTCAATCACACAATGTTACAATATCAGTTTAAAAATATTACGAATACATATGCAAGATATTTTTACATGCATTTAAAGTGTTGGTAGTGGATATAGTGCCCCCATCGGTAAATCGGATTTTATTCGGTGAATGGGTGAAGTTGTACAATTTAAAATTGGTGGTGCCAATCAGTTCAAATGTTAGCAACAGATAGCTCAAAATGGGCGCATGTAAACTCCGCCAAAAAAAAAAAAAAATAGGTAAAATTGGGTTCATATAAACTTTTTCAGTAAAGAAAATCAAGTTACAGTATAAAATTAATATGTAGGACAGATATCATGTACATTATAATATCCCAAAAAATATACAAAAATTAATAAAAATAATAATTGTCAGAACAAATCATCCAAATTGTCATGTGTAGATATTAATGTATTATCATAATAAATAATTATAAAAATCAGAAAATATGTACCTAGGAACCTAGGTATGTTATAATATGTTGAACTGTGAACTAAAATGATGAGATATAATTTGTAGATATTCTGACATCTCAGTCTAATATAAATCCATTATCATAACTATTTATAAAGTTTTCTAACACTATCATTTTTGATTTTTGAGCTTTTTTGGTTTAGATATATTATTAGGTTTTACATAAGCACTTGTGTAACTTACTTTCTGAGCTTCCATATATCCATTACAAATAAGAAAATAAAAATGACGGAGTTTACCTTAGTCCTTTTCGTTTTCATTACCTTTTATCTAACCGGTATTCTGGCGGGGTTTACAGTCGCCCATTAATTTAACCGTATAAATACTTACCTACCAATATGATAATTGAATAATGGTATGCATATAAAATTGTAAAATTTATTATATTATAATACATTACAATTTAATTTGAATTACTTCTTCCCTAAGTATAAGCACGAGCAAGCCATTCAAACATAGTATGCCTATTACCTACATGGAAAGCAATTATTACTCAATACAATGTATTATACATACTATGCGGATGTAGTGAGTTGGACGGAGAAAAAATATAAAAATTAGCATCCAGCTGAGAATTGAAGAAAAGTAACGGTTCATCTGTTCGTATTATTAAATAGCTTTATGTTTGGGAATCGCAAAGAATGCACCATAATAAATATATATATATGAACCTCGTAACGGCTATAACGCGTTATCACACACACGCACACATAATATTATGTATTATTTTTTGTCAGCGAGTGTAAGCCATAGAGGTTTGGTGTTTGAAAAATCACCGCTATGGTACAACACAAGGTCGGCAAGCTACCATAATTGGAAAGTAATACTGGCACCAAAACTACACCAAAGCATCCCACGTGTGCGGCGAGAGCTTAGAGTCGGATACTATATGTTTACGCACTTCCACAGTGGTCTAATAACCTAATTATATGCATACCATAATATTATGTATTGCGCTCGGCAACCCACGTGAACGAGTTTCACTTGCACATCATGGAGATGGCACTCACGTGTAATTGATACTACAATATAACACGATGGAAAGTGTTTTTAAGGGCTTTATTGCTTTATATTAAAACGATAGTGGGCAGACGAGAGTCGAATATCATCTTTATATTATATTATTTTTAAAAAAAGGGACACGTATGGTAACCACTCTGATGTACAGTAGGTGTCGAGTGTCTGAGTGTACCACATCATTGAGTAGGTTACTGTAATGAATGTGTTCAATTTGAATTCACTGATAATATTACAATGAACATTGCAAACAAAAACGAATTTGACCGGAAACTGTCTGTCAGCATTATATTATTAAGTATATTTTATTATACATTATATTGTAATAATTACATTAATTAATTTTACTATATTGGCTCAAAATGTATCAAAGTATTTTTCAATCCTCATAGCGTATTTATACACTTTAACAAACAAATTATAACAGCTATTCTTTGATTGAATAACCAATTTTGGTTATAAACTATAAGAGTTTTTGTAAACGGAGATATTGTATTAGTTTTGGCCTTTCATAAAATATTACCAACGTTTTTAAAAAATACAAACATTTTAAATACCTATTAAATATTAATAGCTTATAATTAGTCTAAATATTTCAAAATGTCATTAAAAATAGAAAATATAATTTAAGTACCTAACAGTTGAAATGTTTTGAGTTTTTACGAATATAATAGGTACTATCATTAAAATTCCGTAATTAAAAATAAAATCATTCAATGAGAATTTATGAGAATATATATCTGCAAGATTGATATTGACAGAAAAAAAAGCAAAAGAGGAGGCCATTCAATTTGATATTATATGAACAACAAACAGAAGTTTTCAATTGTTTGGTTGATTTTTAAGTTATTGCGGCAAAAACGTCTCGTCTCTTTGACGAACTGACTTATGTGGTAGTGTAGGACTGTGATCGTAGGACTGTCCTCCTAATAAATAATATTAGGGCTCTAGTTGCGCCCATATGGTGATGGAATCATTCGATTATCATTTATCTTCATCCACTGCTAATATGTAAATGCGCATACATCCAAATCCACACACCATAGTTATCCTTATCAACTTTCAATTATTAAATAATTTGCGAATTTTCTCAATGTTGACAAATTTTGTCGAAATTCCAAATTCTATCTCTCTTAAAAATGATTGTATGAATTTACGATCAAGTTGCTTATTTCCGTAATATCTATAAGGAACCTTGTAATTTTTTTAATTAAATTTTCAAAATGTTTGACTAAGCGTAAATCAACATTTATCGAAAAATAACTCAAATGCCCAAAAAGAGTACAATATTATATTAAATTAATATTAGCATAGAAAATATCAAGTATCTACTGTTATTTTTTTTTAAGTTACATCAAAATAACAAATTGTATTATATTTTAATAACAAAACAATTTTATCAAAAACTGGTTTCACTCAAAAATTCTAGTTTTTCACCAATTTTATTTTTGTTTTACCCAATTATTATGAAAGTAATGGGGAGTTTTTTTTTTAATCCTCCAAATTATCAAATAATTTCACTTTCCTATCAGAAAATTTAAGATGAAAATTAAAGTATTTTTAATGCTCCAAAAGGCCAGACCTAAGAAATATATATTATATTATATTATACATTTATACATTGCACGTACCACTGGTCGATACTCGATAGTCAAGTCTGCGTCTCATTATCTCGTTCTTTGGGTTTCAGAATATGGTTTACAATTTACTGGCCTAAATTGGTGTAATATGTGCAATGTGCAAATTTGGAACAGTTATAATAGACAATAAAAGAAAACATGGTGTCTATAAATATTGGCATACACAAACAATTTTGCTGGAAAACTAATATTACTTACACTTATTACAGTGTAAAAATAGTAAGAATAATATGCAT